TGCAACCTCCTAGGTTCAAGCCATTCTCCTGCCCCAGCCTCCCAAGTCCTGGGACTACAGGCGCATGCCACCACACCCTGCTAATTTTTGTATTTTGGGGGTAGAGTTTTTTAGTGGACTTTTTTTGGAAAGAGAGTTGGATGGAGAGAGATGTCTGGGTTCAGTACCCCAGCCAAAGAGACAAGGAAACAGGTTCAGGAAAGCAAAGTGACTTGGGTGGGCCCAAGCACAGGGGTTTAGAGCATGGGCTTTAGAGCTGGCAGACATGGTTTTCAGTTTCAGCTCTACCACCTACTTGTGTTGTATATACATTAGTGAGCCTCTTGCGACTTCCATTTGCTCACTGCAAAATGGAGGGGAATGCAGAGTTGTGAGAGTTAATTCTTAGTCTCAAAAAAAAAAATGGTAGGGCATGGTCGAGCATGCCTATAATTCCAGCCGCTCGGGAGGTTGAGGCAGGAGAATCACTTGGGAGGTGAAGTTTGTAGTGAGCTGAGATGGTGCTACTGCACTCCTGCCTGGGTGACAGAGTAACACCCTGTCTCAAAAAAAAAACAACTAAATGGGCATTTTCAAATAATATAGGATGTAACTTTGTTACTTTATATTATAAACGCGTATTAGTTCTATATCCACATATATTTATAAATACGTGTTTGCATTCTAAATACGTATGGAAAAGAATGGAAGAGGGCCCATTTGCAAAAGAAGTCAGTATAGAAATACTCATGAATATATGTAGAACAAATGTGTGTATAAGAACTTTTACATGAAGAAAATTTAAAATATTACAGAGACATGAAAGAAAACCCGAAACAATGGGAAAGCATCTACTCCTGATCTTCACATATAAAGATCCAATATTATTATTGTTCTATTTATTTATTTATTTTGAGACCAAGTCTCACTCTGTTGCCCAGGCTGGAGTACAGTGGCACGATGTCGGGTCACTGCAACCTCTGCTTCCTGGGTTCAAGAGATTCTCCTGCCTTAGCCTCCTGAGCAGCTGGGATTATAGGCGCCTGCCCCCATGCCCAGCTAATTTTTTGTATTTCTTAGTAGAGACGGGGTCTCACCATGCTGGCCAGCCTGGTCTCGAACTCCTGCCCTCAGGTGATCCACCCGTCTCAGCCTCCCAAAGTGCTAGGATTACAGGCATGAGCAACTGTGTCCGGCCAGATCCAGTATTATTGTTGACATCATTATAAGAAGGTCATTCTTCATAAATTAATGTAAACATTTGATGTGATCCAAATACAATCAAATTTTTTTAAGGACAAACTAGTTCTAAAGTTCAGATAGAACGAAGTGGGAATAAGAGGGTACAAGAAGTTATCAAAGCATGGCCGGGAGCTGCGGCTCACACCTGTAATCCCGGTGACTTGAGAGGCTGAGGCAGGAGAATTGCTTGAGCTCAGGTGTTCAAGGCTGCAGTGAATTGTGGTCGTAGCACTGCACTCCAGCCTGGGTGACAGAGTGAGACCCTGACTCAAAAATTTAAAAAATGGTTAGGTGCGGTGGCTCATGCCTGTAATCCCAGGTCTTTGGGAGGCCAAGGCGGGTGGATCCATTGAACTCAGGAGTTAGAGACCAGCCTGGGCAACATGGAGAAACCCCATCTCTACTAAAAAACACAAAATTAGCCGGCTTGGTGGTGTGCACCTGTAATCCCAGCTACTCGGGAAGCTGAGGCATGAGAATCGCTTGAACCCAGGAGATGGAGGTTGTGGTGAGCTGAGATCACACCATTGCACTCCAGCCTGGGCAACAAGAGCGAAACTCCATCTCAAAAAAATAAAGAAAAATAAAAGTTATCAAAGCATGAATAGACAGATTCTCTGGTATAGAACAGAGTCCAGAGAAACACCCAAATATATGTGGAGATTTAGAATATGATAAAAGTGGCATTTCAGATCTGTGGGGAAAATATGAATTATTCCGTAAATGCTGTGGAGATAAGTAGGGAAGCATCTGGGAAAAGGGGAAGTTGGATCCCTACCTCATTCCTACAGAAAGCCCAGATGGGACAGGATTGAAATGCAAAAGCCAAGAGCAGACAAGCACTAGAAAGAAAAAATTAGAAGAAAATTACACTATGGCCGGGCGCGGTGGCTCAAGCCTGTAATCCCAGCACTTTGGGAGGCCAAGGTGGAGGCCAAGGTGGGTGGATCACGAGGTCAAGAGATCGAGACCATCCTGGTCAACATGGTGAAACCCCGTCTCTACTAAAAATACAAAAAAAATTAGCTGGGCATAGTGGCGTGTGCCTGTAATCCCAGCTACTCAGGAGGCTGAGGCAGGAGAATTGCTTGAGCCTGGGAGACAGAGGTGGCAGTGAGCTGAGACTGCACCATTACACTCCAGCCTGGGTGACAGAGTGAGACTCTGTCTCAAAAAAAAAAAAAAAGAGGACACTACACTCTTAATGGACTGATAATGGAAAAAACCTCTGCGATATAAGCCCAGCATATATTCCATGCTACCATTTCTATACAAGAAGGGAAAAAAATCAATCCACCTTAGGCACCATTGAGTCTCATTGGATAGTTACGTTGGTTTCCTTTGGGGAGGAAAATGAGGGAAAAGGGAAGATTTTTATATCTATCTTGTCTTTTACATTTCGACCCATGTGAATGTGTTACCTTTTCAAAACGAGAGCTAAAATAGAAAACGCATCTTGTGTATACCCTCCGTTCAGCAGTTCCGGACTGGATCCTGCTGCTACGTTCCTGCCTATGAGCAAGGGTTTATGTGGGAGGTATTCGAGGCAGCATTTCTTAGGCTGCAGAAACAGCCTGAATGCCCCACAGCAGGGACTGGCTAATCCACACAAGGGAGGCTGAGGGGGTCTGTCTGCTCGTACTGATAGAGAAACAGCTCCAGAAATGACTGTCAGGTCAGAGATGCCCCGGGCTGGCAGTGTCTAGGTGTGCTATCATTCGTTTAGGAAATCTCTCCATGGATTTGCTTATACACATGTGCAGAATATCCGTGGATGAAAAGCAAAATCTAGCCACGTCTGCCTTTAGGAAGGAAACTAAGGACGGGGATGGGTGAGAGGGAGAACTTGAATCTGTCTGGGTGACCTCGCCATGGTCCTGAATTACTTGCTCCATAAAAACAAACACAAACCACTAGCTGAAGATTAAAGTGTGAAACCAGGTCCCACAACAGCCTTAGCAGTGTCTGGCGCACAGGGGAACCCATCAGCCCTTGGGTGTGTTGGACCCTCCAGAAATAACTGGTTGCTCTTGTTGGATTCCCTGATGGCTGAGAAGGTTCAAGACACTGGGGAAATCTTCCCAAGAAAAGCCAGGGAAGTTCCCCAAGCTGCCGGATGCTAAAGCCTCTGGGAGGCAAGGCGGGGAGGCCTGGGCGTGTCAGGACCAGAAAGGGCCACACGAGCAGGAGGGAGGCCGCCTGTGATGACCCTCGGAGGTGAGAGGGACAGGGAAGCTGAAGGGCACAGACTGGCTACGTTCCAAAGCACTCTTCCTAAAGGCCAAGCCCCAAAGGAGCATCCTGTGTGCCTGTTCTCCTGATGCAGTGGTGCGGGGGACTGGGAGCATGAAGGCCCTCCCTGTCTCAGTTTCCCCATGTGTAGCTTACGCCTCTGCAGTATATGCTGGGCACTGTGTGGGTGAAAGAGGGCCCAATTGTGGTGAAGCACCACTCACAATCACCTGAGGCTTGAGCAGACTGATTCAAACCCGAGGTGTCCAGGGGTGTTCCCCTTTTCTCACCAGCGCTCCTTACCCAGGTGGCTTGTCCTGGACCTCTGGTATGGACAGCAGTCCCATACTCGCACTCTCCTAGCCTGAGTGCCGAGCCCCCAGAATGGCTGATCCGGCAGGCTGCGCGAGTGGTAGCCACTGCAGCTGCTCCGTAGGCAGAGCACACAGGCGTTGGGTCAGGGGAGGCAGGTGACACGGCAGGGTGACAATCCCTTTCATCAAGGGCTCACCAGCCTCTAGTTCCATGGCAGGGCAGGGACTCTCAGACGAGGCAAGAATCAGGGTTGTTTCTAGACTATGGAGGGGTCCCTGGGCAGCACAGTGACACCTCAGAGGTGGGGCAATGGAGAGCCAGGGGCCCCTGTGTTGACTGAAAGAGGGCAGGCTGTCTTCACCCAGCAGCCAGGAACGCAGCGGTGGGGCGGGGGGGGCAAGTGCACACAGAACATGAGGGAGTGCCTGGGACTAAAACGGGCTGAGGGGCGGCTGGGCTGGGCTGGGCTGGGCTGCTGCTCCCTCAGAAGCAGGCTGAGGCCTACCAGCTAGGAGGCAGCTTGGCTGACAAAGCCCTGCCCAGGGTCTGGCTGCCCTCACCTGGGAGCCAGGCCAGGGCCAGACTGGTGCCACACAAGGTATCCTTGGCGGTGGCTGGCCTGATCTACGCATCCACCCCTTCTTCCACAGCTGCCCCTATGGGGATCAGGGGATCTCCCATGGACCCCCTACCAGCCTCCCAGATGACAGAGTGCTGGAGAAACCCACAAGGGGCACCCAGCCTTCTGGCCAGCATCACAAGGTGAGAGCCTCAGCTCCGGGAAGGCGGAATCAATCGAAGGAGAGGTGCCGGGGACAGCAGCAGGCCAAAGCAGTTAGTTTGCCAAGGACAGGATGGAGGGAAGGTGCTGTCCTCAGAATGCCACAGGAGGGGCCACGGATGCACACACAACTGGAGCCCTTGACCAAGGGGTCCCTGCAGCCTGGACTCCCACCCAGAAGAGCCTTGGGCCTGACACACTGGCCGGGGACACACTTCATGTCATCATTTTTATTCATTTCTTTTTCTGAAAATAAGAATAAACATACAGTATATATTTTCTGATGATATATGTTAGATCTAGTTACTGTAGGGTCAAAAAACCATCCCCAACCACTCAGAGGCAGCTTTTAATCCTGATATTCCGTGGAGGGGAAAAAAGTGTCCGTGATTGCCTAAAGCCAATCTTTATTATTAAACAGCAGTAACAGGAAAACCTAATGCTCTTTCAGACACAGCTGAAACCTGGGAGGCCAGGAGGAGGGCAGCAGACACTACAGAGAAACCCGGAAGAAACCGAAATGGAGGCACACCTGCTCACCCAGCCCCATCCCTCGGCCCAGTCCCTGCTGCAGGAGTCGTGGGCTCAGAGGTGACAGTGAGGAATGTATCGTAAGTGACCATCCTTGGGGCAGAAGTGGGGAGTGGGGAATGGTGCAGCTGCCAGGGGGACAGGAACCCGAGACGGGCTCTGGGAGCTTCTGCCAGGTCTTGACCATGCAGGTCAGCCTCGGAAGGCTGTGGCCCAACTGGCACAGCTGCAGGGCACCAGCCTGGTGGCTGTGAGAGGGGTGGTGCAGGCCCTAGGCTCCTCCCAACCCAGCTCTGCCCCTGTGCCGGCACTTATAGCCCCTTGAGCCCCAGGCCCTAAGCAAGCAGCTCTCCTGGTACCAAGGGTACCCCTCCCTGCAGACCTAAGCTAGGTTGGCAGGTCCATTACATGAGAGGTGGCAGCGGGGGGGCCCTTTAACACCAACCCAAGAGACCAAGGAGCCAGGGGCTGTGAATTGGAGGGGCAAGCTCCACACTCACCCTTCAGACACAGCTTCTGCGGCCGCTCTGGCTGTTTCCTTTGGTCCCCTCCTCACCTGACCCCACATGTCACAGCCACAGGAGCAGGGGCGTCCTGGAGCACGAGAGTGCACTGCGCTCTCACCCCAGTAATGGGTCGTGCCCACCCTAGGGATTGGGTGGGTGCTGCCATCTGGACCAGGGAGCCCCCTCGGTGGCCAGGATCCCAGCCTGGTCCCTCTTGTGAGGAGGAAGATGTGCTGCCACTCCCAGGGGGTCCTTAGTGGGGTGGGCAGGAGGCTGAGGTGGGCACTGGCTGGGGCTCAGTTCTTGAGGATGGTCTCATAGGCCTGGTACACATGCTGGGACACCTCTGGTGCTCGACACTTCAGGGACAGCTGCAGGGGAAAGAGGGGTAGGGAAGAAAGTGCTCATCCCTGGGGCTCCTCTCAGGAAGGAAGGCAGTGGGGAGGAGAGCAGGAGCCAATGGGAGAGCCTGGTGTGCACACAGCCTGGCGGCAGCTGTGCCTCACACAAACCTGAAGGAAAGTAGAGGGGTCTGTCGCAGCCAGCCGAGTGGACCAGATATACTTGCAGCCCACACCTGCTGTCAGCCCAGTCACCAGAGCCCTGCTGGCAAGCAGTGTGAGTCACGAGCCTCAGGCTGCCAGGGAGTACCCCGCCCCCTGGAGTCCCTGAAGGTCTGGGGTCCTCAGGACTGAAACCCAACAGAAAATCCCAAGGGGTGCAGAGCGCTGAGGGGGAGCGCCGAGGGGTGCTGGGCTCATTCCTGGTTTCCTGCATAGGAAGCAGGCATGGTAGAGACTTTGCCTCCACTCTGCGGACTGAGCGTGAGATCACAGGCAGAGTAGAAAGGAACCTGCACCCATCACTCTAAAGCACTGGTTCTGCACGGTGCAGTTGGGAAGTGGGAACAATGGAGTTCTGCAGTTCAGCAGCAGCCCACAGGGCTCCTCTGTGCCTCCTAGGAAGGGCTCTGTGCACACTGTGAATGTGTGGAAGTGGGGTGTCAGCACCTTAATCAGGGCCACCTGGCTGGAGTCTGCCAGGTGAGGTGAGGCCAAGAGATGAAGTGCAGACAGGAGACATGGGGTACATGGGGGCCAGGACAGGAGCCAAGGCTGGGGAGGGCAGATGAGGAAAGAGAAAGTGATCTGCTAACCTCCAAGTCCTGCACCACGGGCACCAGCAGGGAAGGTGACATGCAGCAACCAAATATGGAAACGGAAGTTACCACCACCGAAGCCACGCTGCAGCCCCCCACCAGCCAGTGCTGCCAGCAGGGCCCAGGAGGGGCAGTGTCTGGAGGACCATGCCTGCCAGAGACTCAGGGGTGCTGGGAGAAGCAGAGCATGGGACTATCCAGGGCCCTGGAAAAGCATCGCAGGCCTCCTGGATAACTTCGTGCCCTAGGGAAGCCATCCCCTGACAGGTCTGCCTCAAGGCCTGGGAAGATAGGGCTCCTGGGAACCAATGTCCTCCCAGCTGGACATGCAGGCACTCACAGGGCAGGGCCTGTGCCCAGCAATGCCACTTCCCAGTCAGGGGGTGCCCAGCCAACTGCACCACCTCCCAGGGCCCAATTTTACACAATCTTCTAGTCCAACTCACTGTTCTGATACCCCACTGGTGTCTTATCTGGGTAACTTGACGGGGTTGAGTTGGAAGCTTTCTAGAAAGGTCCTTCCCAGGGAGGACTGATTCTGGTTCAAGCCAGGCTTGAAGGGACGCTTGGACCACGTCCTCCACCATACCCAGCCCCTGGCCTGGGAGGGAGAGGAGGCTCCAAGGACATGCAGGCACTCACGTTGGATGCTGGGGCTCTCACCATGTAGCTGGGTTGCCTGGCTGGATCCGCAGCTCCGCCAGCACCCAGATGCCGTTGGTCAGCTTCAGGGACTGGTAGAGCCATGTCCTGGCCCTCCACGTTTCTCTTGGTGACAGTGAAGATGTTGCTGCTCACAGCCTCTGTGGAGTCACATGGCCGTGGGAGGCCCCACAGTCAGTGCGGCAGGCCTGGGTACAGGCAAGGGGCTGGGGCCAGGGCTCATCATGAGCAGGCTTAGGAAGAAGAATCATCAGGAGGGGCTGCCAGGGGTCTCCAGGGAGCCCTAGCCTCACTGGCCAGATCTATGATGGTGCCAGACAGGCAGCCTTCCCACTGACATCCAGTGTAGAGGACCTGGTGGGGAGGGACCTGGAGTATCTGCTGCTCCCAGAGGCCCCATCTGACACTTTAATCCTCTGCCACATTGGGGAGGCTGGTAGGCAGGCCCACTCCCCACCAGCTTTCTGAGAGGTGGTCCCTAAGACAGGCCTCTCCTGCTATGTGGGGTGTTTGCCAGCAGTGGGCTACTCAGCTGGAGCAGGGAGTTCCTGTAAAACACTCCTTTGGACATAGAGTCAAAAATAAGGGGCCAGATGTGGTGGCATGTACCTGTAGTCCCAGATACCCGGGAGGCTGAGGCAGGAGGACCGCTTGAACCCAAGGGTTCAAGACCAACCTGGGCAATATACTGAGACTGCCATCTCAAGAAAAAAAACTAAAAGGAGAGGCGCCATTCCCCAGTCTGCCTGGTATTTTAGAGTCCGTATAAAAAGGTTACTTGGGGGTAAAAATCCAACTGCTTGGCTGGGCACAGTGGGTCATGCCTGTAATCCCAGCACTTTGGGAGGCCAAGGTGGGTGGATTGCCTCACCTCAGGAGTTCAAGACCAGCCTGAGCAACATGGTGAAACCCCATCTTTACTAAAAATACAAAAAATTAGGTGGGGTAGCATGTACCTGTAGTCCAGCTCCTAGGGAGGTTAGGAGCATTGCTTGAACCCAGGGGGTGGAGGCTGCAGTGAGCTGAGATTGTACCACTGCACTCTAGCCTGTGTAACACAGCAATACTATCTCAAAAAAAAAAAACAAAAGCACTTGAGAGTTTTGGCCCAAGGGGTGATGGGGAACATCCTCTGGAAAAGGGACACCGCCCTCCCCCCTGCCTGCAATCCCCAGAACAGACTCGAGTAGATTCTCATAGGCCTCCCCTTGAGAGGTGTGCTGACCCCAGGGGGCTCACCTGTTGCAATTGAACTGTATGACAAAGTCAGTCATGACCTTGTTAGCTGCAGGTCCATAGAGATGGAGCCCACCTGGTAGGTGAAGGTGCCTGACATCTCCAGCCCCTTGGCCTTCATGGCTGGGAGCCAGAACCTGCTGGGAAGAGGGTGTGGATGGGGCAGGTGGGTGCCTCTTCCCCAAGCCCACCTCAGGGTGCTTTTTCTTTCTCCTGCAGGGTCCTCCTAGATCCAGCACCTCCACCTTTACTGCTAGGGGATGACCAGGTACATAACAGGAAGAGAATACCGTGTCCCACCTAGGACACCACCAAGACATGGCTGCCTCTTGGAGCAGCTCGTGGTGGGGAGGCACTTGGGCATTCAAGGGCTGACGTGAGTCCTCAAGAGGAGAATGGAGGGTTCTCTTGGGAAGTGGGGCTGAGGAAGGCCATGAGCCTAGGACAGAGCTCAGTGCCCAGTGGCATCCTGGGGCTCAGCCACAGCCTGGGCCTTGCTGGCCATCACCGCCTGTCCTCCCTTGCAGGAGGCAGGGCTGGCCTTTGGCCATAGAAACTGGTCTGACCAAGGACAGTATCTAAGAGGATCCCTTGCCTGGCAGGCCTTCTGCTGCTTAGCTGCCTTTGTCATTCGAGTCTCAGCTCAAGAACCACCTCCTGGAAGCCTGCTCCCAGGCTCCCTCATCCCAGTGATGTTATGGCAGATAAATATGAGCTTATGTCTGTCTCCCCCGTACCCAGAGAGCTCGCTGAGGGAAAGGCTCTGTTTTTCTGTCTTTACCTCCTTGGCTCAGAGCTTGGTGTGAAACCAGTGTTTAGGGAGTGTTTGCTGAGCAATCAGCATGAGTTACAGCCCTGCCCGGGGCAGACATCCACCAGCAGCATCCTGAGGACTCAAAACACTTCTCAGGTGGTTACTCTCCTGTGGACAGCTCACAGGCCCCTTGGATCAAAAGGCCCAGACCCTACCGACAGCTTCCGAAAGCACACCCAGTGCCAGAAACTGCAGAAACATCAGATGTCAGCCCCCGCCCCACCCTAACCCCCTTGCAGAGGTCACGCAACCCAAGTCCCGTAGAGGCCACCTCCTACATGTGCCTCCAGGGCCCCCACTTCTCTCCATCTCCAGAGGCACTAACTACCAGCATCTGAGCTCCCACCAGATGTCCCCAGGTAAGACAGCAGCTGCCAGGTGGCACCCAATTTTCACCCTCTCCCCCTTTCCACAGCCACTGCAGTCATCTTGTGAAATGCAAGTCTGATGATGGCACCTCGAGAAGCCCCTTCCAACACTGCAGTGGCCTCCACAGCCTGGTGCCCATTTGCTCCCCAGGCTTGGCTTGCTCACGCTCATTGACCTCTCTGCTTTGAAAACGCTTTCCCACCCCCATCCTGCTCGGTTAACCCTGAGCACCCTCTGTGCCCCCTGGCCAGATCTGTGAGGACAGAAAGCAGCCTGCTTCGGCTCCCAGCTGTGCCATGGCCACCAAGAGTACTGCGAGGCTGGCTGAACCTGACCTGGGGCATGGCTCCCTCATGGACCACTTCCCTGGGCTCCCCATCGGGCCTCCTTTCCCCTGACCTCCTCTCAATCATCCATGGCGGGGGATGGGGACTGCCCTGCTCTTGGTCACTGTGGGTTCGTGATGTCTCACACAGGTCCTAGCAATATACTGAGGTAATAATCTTCAATCTTGACTGGATGAACCAATGAACAGTCACCTCCAAAATGCTTGAGGAGCCCAAAAGTTCTGATGCACAGCCAGCCTCACTGCCTTAGACCGGCAGGGTTGGCCAATGTCTTTAACCCCACAGGCGGGGTGTGGAAATACGTGAGGAATGAACAATTCCAAGTGGCCACAGGGCTCTTGGGAAGATTTGGATACCTACTGACTGATTCTGAAGGGAGAGTACACCCACACCCTAGAACCCTCCCATGACCAAGGCAGTGGGGAAAGTCCTGCCCATGTCATAAGGACTCCTCCTCCAGGCAGCCTGCCCTGATGACTCCTGACTTGGTGATACGATCACCTTTGCAGCATGCTCTCATCAGATACACTCATCTGACTCTTTACAAAGACAAAGCAGAGATAACACTGTTAAGACGAACACACCTGTAATCCCAGCACTTTGGGAGGCCAAGGCATGTGGATCACCTGAGGTCAGGAGTTCAAGACCAGCCAGGCCAACATGGTGAAACTCCATCTCTACCAAAAATGCAAAATAGCTGGGCATGGTGGTGGGTGCCTGTAAGCCTAGCTATTCCGGAGGCTGGGGCAGGAGAATCACTTGAACCTGGGAGGCATAGGTTGCATGAGCCGAGATCATGCCATTGTATTCCAGCCTGAGTAACAAGCAAAACTGTCTCAAAAAAAAAAAAAAAACACACAAGTCTAGTGCCAGCTTGCCAAAGGCCAGTTCCAGGCTGTCTATTCTGGGCAGCTCTGCAGTTTCTGGCAAGGGCTGGCACCCACAGGGTTACAGGAGTCTTTGCTGTTCTGTCCCTTAGTTCTTTGTATGCCTGTGATATCAGGCTTCTGGCAAGTACAGGTTGGCCTCATGCCTTGGCACAGCCAATCAAGGTAGTCAGTTGCACATGCTGTACGTCATACCATGATTCTACGCTCCCTTGGCCCTGCTGGCCCTGACACCCCACACATGAAGGCAGGGGCATAGGTGGTTCTCACACTCTGTGGGGTCACCATCATGTAAGGGTCTGGAACAGAGGCTTTAGTGTCACCAGCTTTTGCTTCCAGACTCTAACCAGCTATGTGACCTTAGGCAAAAACACTCAGATTTCTCAACGACGAAATGGGAGGAAGAGCCACAAGGGACTGCCAGAAGCAGCATGTGCTGGCGGTGGCTGTGGAAAGCTGTGCTGTCCCTGCACGGAAGTGTGTGATTGCTAGTGTCAGAGCTGCTGTCTGCTGTGGGCATCTCACTGCCCAGACCCTGCCAGGGGGCTCCAGTCACCACCACTGCAGGTGCGGCTGGCACATGGTGGGGAAAGCCAGCTCAGCGGGGAAAGGGGGACACATGCTCCCTCTGGCAGCTTCCTTGACACTGACATGGCCCCCACTGAGCTTTCCTCCGTGCCTGGCCCACATGTTCTCACATCAGAAATTCAGCTCTCCTTCCCTCAGCCCTGGCTCCTCCCTCCCAGGGAGCTCTCCAGTCTGTTTCCACCCACAGGACGCCCTCATTGTCCAGCTGCAGCAGCACTCCTCCCTGCCACAGAACCCCCCACCCCCACCCCAGTGCTTCTGCCCCACCCCTCCCTGCAGATGCAGCCAGCTTTCTCAAGTGCAAATCGGACTGCTTCATCCCTCTGCTCAAAACTTTCCATGGCTCCGGCTCTGCCAGGATCAAGAGCAAACACAGCCTAGCCTTGCCAGCTTCCTCCCTCACTGATCCCTAGTCTAGCCAGGAGTCTCAGGGTTGCACCCTAGGTGGCACAGGAGGCATTTGTGGGCATCTTCAGGCGGCACAACATGGAGTGGGCTGCAGTCAAGGATGCTGGACGTTCTGCCACAAGACAGCCACCCCACACCAAGCAACAGTCCTGCGTCCTCCAGTATTTTCTGCATGGTTTCAGTATACCCAGAGACTTCCAGGAACACAATTCTCAGGAAAATCGAGGGAAGCCCATTCTTAGAATCTTACTGCAAGGCAGCGACCACTTCAGAAATGAACGGCACCACTGGCCAAAACACGGGGTCCAGACTACAAACACCTGGGCTGTGGCTGTGACAGTCACAGTGACTTTGCCCTGCAGCAAACACCTGGCAACTTCATGTCTTCTGGGGTGAGTGGGAGGGCGTGCCCAGGCATTTATAAACTGATGCATATACTTGTATTCTCTTCCTTTTATGTCTCCATGCAATGAAAGCAACTGAGTATTTTTGGAATGCTATGTGTAGGTAGGTTACACAGCCCACCAATTGCATTTAAGGAGAGGAACACGGACAACGTAAAATGTCTGTGATGACTAAGGAGTGCTGGGTCTGATGGCACCGAGAACTGCTGCTCCCAGCTGACAGGCCTCTGCTGATTCCCCAGCAGAGGCTGGGATCTCCCCTCCAGGCCTTGCCGCAGGCTGTTCCCTTGGCATGGAGTCCTCTACCTGCTTTTGTTCAGCTAACGAGTTCCTGTGACCCTTCCTCTCAGAAGCCTTCCTAGGCCCCTGCAAGCCTGACTTAGCTCCTCTTCGTCGGTGTCCCCATGGCCCCCGGCTTTCCTCATCAGCACTGGCCTGAGCCAGTTCCACGGCCGAGGCCATTTAAAGGAGCCCATATGCCAGTCTGACTTCTCTTTGCTCCTGCCAAGAAAGAAGGCAGGTGACTTACTGCTTTGGGGTCCACATGTGATCCTGACGGTGCCCACGCCACTGGCAGGTCAAAGAGGTCACTCAGGCCACTGCCAATGGGTGCTCCAAGATTGGCTGGTTCTGCTGCTGTTGGAGGTGCCACAAAGTTGGTGCCCCCAATCTGGAAAGCAGGGGAGTCAGGTGGCATCAGAGGCTAGGAATGAGTAGAGCCACTTGGCTCTTTAGAATACACTGGGGGCCAGGGGCAGGGCAGCCTCCCCATCAAGTCTAAGTTACAGAAATGAGACAGAGAGGGGTGGGTGGAGAAGAGAGGCTGAGCCCTCCCATGCCCTGCAAGCCTTGAGCCTTAGGGATAACCACTGTTTCCAAAGGGCTGGGGACTCTCCCTAATTGACACTCAGCCCATGGATAAAAGGAGGTCCCAAGACACGCTATTCAGATGGGCGCTCTCCCTCCAGGACATCAGAGGGGAGTTGTGGGACTGAGGGCTGGCAATCCCCGGGATGACAAGGTGATGTGTCATGGGTGGTGAGGACTGGGCAAGAATCCATGGCTATGGGGCCCAGTGGCAGCTGGATGCCAGGACACTGGACCAAGGCAGTGGCTCAGCAGGCGGGGCTGCTTTGACATCAACTGTTCCTTGGGATACTGGGCCAGTGCTTTCAGGAGAAGCAAGAACAAAGGCTTGGTGACACGGGTTGAACTGTATCCCTTCAGGCTCATGCCCCATCTCCAAGCAGAAGCAGGCAGGTAAAGAGAACAGGCAGCCACATGCAGAGAGAAAAGCCAGGAAGGAAGACGGAGACGAGAGAAGGGAAAGAGGGAAGAGATGAGTCAACTGTAGTTCCATCCGAGAGGAGTGCGGTGTGAGGCTGTGCTGGGGCCTACAAGAGACCCAGACCTGTCTCTATAAAAGGCACCACCCCCACGCCTTCACCCAACACCCTCCTGTCCTGCACCACAGACCCTCCTGCCTCACCCTAGGGGCACTGATTGCCAGGCTCCTGCCCTCATGCTGCCTCATGGGGACCTGAGCCAAGCACAGCCAAATGAAGAGGCTGGCCCTGCTAGTTGCCTGAGGATGCCCCAGGGAGATACCCAGGTTAGTCTCACCCCTACCGTGTTACCACTCCCCTCTCCCTGACATCCCCTCTCAAATAGACCTGGCTGGGCTATTCCCAGCTGGGGCAGCATGGGGGTAAGTGGACACAAGTCTGATTCCTCAAAGCCAGGAACACCCTTGCCTTACAGGACAAAGGTGACCGTGACGCCAGGATCAGGGCAAGGGCTAGGAAGGGCTCCCTGCCCGGGGTCTCCAGGGACTCCAAGGTCTAACAAGGGAGTGGAATCCTGTCTGCACTCAGGCTGTGTGACCTTGGAGGGAAGGCTGCCTGGCCTCTCTCTTCGTCTTATCATAAGTAGGGAGCTCACAATCGCCTCCGACGGCAGATGGTAAGGACTCAATAGAATGTATCGGAGGCACCTAGCTGGTGCCTAGCCTGGAGGCACGATCAGTGAGTGCGCCTCTGAAGACCATTATCAACGTCATCCAGAGGGCCCACGACATTCCAGCCTGTCAAGGCCACCGCCAAGAAGGTCCACAGCTCCCATCTGCACTGAGGAGGTTGCCAGGGGTGGGCCGCTCACCAGGGGCCCGAGGTCCAGGTTGAGGAGGTCGCCCTGGGTGGGGATGACATCTGGCTGCTCCCCAGGAGGTGCTCCTGCAGGGGCTGTCTTAGGGCGCTCTGTGCTCTCATTCCTGCCGGACACAGAAGGGAGAGGAGGTCAGTAGGGCGGAGGCATGAGGATGTCTCAGGAAGGTCAAAGAGACCCCAGCCTCCAGGCGCCTCCCCCAGCACAGGCACTGGGTCTCTTCACTGTCCCCAACAGGCCTGTCCACATGGCCCCACTTCTTCCCCATTCCCACAGCAGACCCATCTTTTAGGCCCTCCTCGAGGATGAGTGAAGGGAGAGGGCCGCCTGCTTCCCTTAGCACATGCTAAGGAGAAAACTGGATGCCAGCGCCCTAGAACGGTGCTGCCAGGCCACACCAACCACCTGGGAGCAGCAGAGGAGGTGCGGACGGGGTGCTGGAATGAGACGGAACTGGTCTGAGTCCCAGCTCTGTTGGCTGTGGGGTCCTGGACCAGTCACTCAAGCTCTCCTTGTCTATTGTTCCCATCTGCCGAATGGGGACATTTGCTCTCAGAGCTGTCGTTAGGATGGAATGAGGCCATCTAGCAAATTCCTCATGTACAATAAACATCTGCTAAAAGGTGGTCAGCTTTCCTCAGACCCAGGCCTTGCCGGGGGACACACCAGGCCCAAGCGCCTGTGCTGAACTGGGGAAGCAGGTGCGAGGCTCAGGCCCATGACTGGCCACTCTCACTCACGAGGCAGTGCGGGGTGGCAGGGTCTTGTGCACAACGCCCCGGCCCCCCTCCACAAAGGCACTGGGAGGCTTATGGTAGACGGAGGCCAGCGTGCCGATGTAGCATATGAGCTCGTCCAGCAGTGTGGGCTCGATGAGGTCTGTCTCTTCAGAGATGAGTGGCTTCTCCGCCAACACCACCTCCTTGGCTGCCACCAGGTCTGTGGAGAGCAGGCGCCAGTAGATGTAGCCACGGTCCCGCAGGTCTGGGTTATCTGAGTCCTTGTGGGCATGAGGAGAAGCCCATGAAACTCAAGAGCAGAGCAGCCAAGTGAGGAGGAGGAGGAGGAGAGCTTTCTGCAGCCCCATGATCCACGTGGGGCACGGAGCTGGCCGGTGTGGACAGCCGTTCTGAGTGCTCCCACGAGCCTGCCCCTACACTGCCTACAGGGCCGTGTGCCGGTCCCGGCCCGTTCCCCATGGTGCTCTCCTCCAGCCTGGCTACTCCTGTCTCTACTCCCAACCGCCCTCTGTGGCCTGCCCTTCCTGCCCCCTATGCACACCCTCCGGTTTCCACGGGCCCTCTTTCTCCTCTCTGGTTTATCTTCACTACTTGACCTCACTGAACTTTAATTTGTGTTCTAAGCTCCCTGAAGGCAGGGAACTTGGGTTACTTTGGGGCTGGCAGCCAGTCCCACCTTCAAGATATCAGTCTTAGGAATGGGCCTGACTTCCAGGTCTACTTGCTGGGACAAAAGCTCCCCTGCTTAAGTGAGGGCTGTGCTGGCCATGGCGGGGAGGCTGGGGCACCCACCTGCGTGGCCAAACTGAGGACCTGCTGCACCAGCTCCTGTGTTTCTGTTGGCTTCTTCAGGAAGAGTTTCACGATGGCGGTCAGCAGCTGCAGCTGGACCTGCAGGGAGGGAACAGTGGTGACGAGGGGGACGTGCGGGCTTCACACGGGGATAGCGGGAAACCAAAAAGGCTTGAAGAGGAAAAGGGCATTCAAAGTCCCTGGAAGCCAAGCACAGCAATTCTAGGTTTGGGGTTGTCACAGCACACAGGCAAAGGGCTGCCATGGGTGTTGTTGGTGCCGCTGACCAGCCAGACCTCAGCATCACCCACTCAGAAAGGAGCTGAGCAATGGACTATCTGGCAAACCCAAGCAGGCTGGGGGCTGTCACCCAGCCCTAGGGTTCTAGAAACCTGTCGGAGCTCTAGATGCTATAGCACTATGAGAGGCTCACGTGTGGCTGGTATGCTTCTTATCAGGGCCATCTGTCAACAAGTGGTGACAGTACCATGGAGGCCCAGAGGGACTGCCATCAAGGAGCCGTGCTTCTGTCAGAGGGTGGGAACTATTCCTAGTGGCCTTCCACCAGCCCCTGCCACACACCTGGACATCCCTGAAGCTGGCCTCAACCTGGCCAACACCTCCTTGCTCTTCAGATCTCATGCCAACCCTACCTCCAGACCCCCCACGCTTCTGCAGCCTCTTCCACCTCTCGTAGCACCACCAGTTGCTGGCTGTCCTGTGCAGTGAGCTCCCTGTGGGCTGGAGTGAGGTCTGGCTGGCTTACTGCTGTGTCACTAGTTACTGCTCGATCTAGTGAGCTTCAGAAATACTTGCTGACTGAAGAAATATCTATGTGAGAACAAGTCTCTACACATAATCCCTCCTTAGTCGTGGCCTCATTTTCGCCAGTCCTAGGACAAGAGGGCAGCCTGATGCTCCTGGGATCAGGGGCAGTGCAGGAACCCACAGGCTGTGCCAGGCACAGGTTTGCGGCAGGAGGGCAGGAGTGGCAGTGCGGGAAGCCCAGCAGCAGCTGTGCTGGCAGCATCTCCGGTACCTGCCCAGCAGGAGGGCACTTGTGCAGGGAAGGCTGAAAGCAGCAGGTGGAATGTAGGACATGTGGCCCTCCAATTCTGGGATGAAGCAGAGTCCTTGCAATTTGGTTACACTTGGGCCAACAGCAGCAGGCTGGCTCTTTCCAAGGCAGGAGGCAGCCCAGCATCTGGCTTCTAGACTCTAGCCCCTGCCTGGGTGGCCAATGGGAAGCCATTCATCCCCATCTGTAACAGAGAGGTGTGGCCTACTTCAGGGATTCTTGTGAGCTTTAAAAATGGCTTGCCTGGAGCTGGAGTCAGATCATACCTAATTTGAACTCCAGTTCTATCACTTCCCAGCTGGGTGACCCTGGGAAAGTCATTTAGCTTCTCTGAGTCAGTTTCCTAATCTATAAAACAGGCATTACACCTCACAGGTTAATGTGGAGTTGATGAGACCACACATGTGAAGCAGCATTATGTATTCTGCTCACTATGAAACCAGTGTCATTATCACAGTCATTATCACCACTACTACCATCACACAGGGACTCTTGAAAAAGTTCTTCCCAACCCAGTCAGCTGGATGCCTGGAATTTTCCTCACTGTCAGATCTGGGGTGGTTCTGGTCAGGTATGCCTTGGGCTGTATTGCCAGAGGGTGCTGCTCAACGATCCATTCCAGTTCCCTTCAGCACACTAAGCCGTTAGCCTGCATATTTAGGGCAGACTTCCTGCAGTGATGTCATTACCCCGGCCATTCAGACAGGGTACAGCAGGACAGGCCCAGACTCAGGCTGGGCTGATATACCACCCTGGCCAAGACTTTTTTTTTTTTTTTTTTTTTTTTTTTGAGATGGAGTCTCTCTCCCCTGCCCAAGCTGGAGTGCAGCCGGGTGATCTCAGCTCACTGCAACCTTTGCCTCCTGGGTTCAAGTGATTTTCCTGCCTCAGCCTCGCAGGCAGCTAGGATTACAGGTACATGCCAGCATACCCAGCTAATTTTTGTATTTTTACTAGAGATGGGGTTTCACCATGTTGGCCAGGCTGCTCTTGCACTCCTGACCTCAAGTGATCTGCCCACCTCGACCTCCCAAAGTGCTGGGATTGCAGGCATGAGCCACCTCTCCCAGCTGCTGACCAAGACTTTCTAAGTCTGCTATCCATGGCTGGAGAGGCCTAGGAGCCAAGGATGAGGAGGTTCAATGAGACAATCTAAAATGAGTTCCTTAATTGCCAAATCTAGTACAGTGGTGCACGCCTATATTCCTAGCTATTCAAAATCCCTTGGACCCAGAAGTTCAAGGCTAGCCTGGGCAACATAGTGAGACTCCGCCTCTTAAAAAACAAAAACCTTCAAATCGTCAAGCACTAAACAAATATTGTTTTTTGTTTTCTGGTTTTTTTTTTTTTTTTTTTTTTTTTTTTTTGAGACAAGGTCTCACTGTGTTGCCTAGGCTGGAGTGCAGTGGTGTGATCTTGGCACACTGCAGCCTCAACCTCCCAGGCTCAAGCCATCCTCCCGACTAGGCCTCCCAAGTAGCTGGGACTATAGGTGTGTGCCACCATACCCAGCTAATTTTAATAGATGAGGTCTCACTATGGTGCCCAGGTTGGTCTCAGACTTCTGGACTCAAAAGATCCTCCTGCCTTGGCCTCCCAAAGTGCTAGGGTTACAGATGTGAACTGCTAACCTGGCTAATTTTTGTATTTTTAGAGACAGGGTTTCACCGTGTTGATCAGGCTAGTCTCAAACTCCTGACCTCGTGATCCACCAACCTCAGCCTCCCAAAGTGCTGGGATTACAGGTGTGAGCCACTGCTCCTGGCCCTAACAAGTATTATTAAAAGAGCTTTGAACTGTGTCATGAACCAAAGACGCAAAGTGAACAGGCTACTGAATTACGTCACATCCCCACAGCTATCATTTACTGAGTGTTGGAGTGGGCATTTTACACACCATGTCCAACAGTCTTTGCAATCACTCTGTACTAGAGACAAGGAAACGGGTTTGGTAAGTTCAAGTAACTGTGTTCCAGGTCACACAACAGGGAGGAGCCTGGATCTCAAACTTCAGAGCTCTGTTTCTGTTCACAGCACCAGACTCCTGGCTTACCCCTCCCTGTCCAGCTTCTCTCACCCTGGCTTTTCAGCAGGCTTAGCTGCAAAAGACTGACCTACTACAGGGGCAGAAGCACACCCCAACAGCAGCGGTTCCCAACCTTTGTGGCACCAGGGACCAGTTTTGTGGAAGACATTTCCACAGATGGGAGATGGGGATTGGGGGGATGGTTTGGGGATGAAACTGCTCCACCTCAATCATCAGGCATTAGATTCTCATAAGGAAGGCACAACCTAGATCCCTCCCATGTGCAGTTCACAATAGGGTATGCGCTCCTATGAGAATCTAATGCTGCTGATGATCTGACAATATCAGGGAAGGTCTAATGATTTCATTTCACAAATGAAGAAACTGAGGCTCAGAGGAGGGGTATGGACTCTGGGATCTCTCATACTAAATCCCGCACTCAGATCTGCTGGGTTACACTGCCCCAGTTTGGCAGCAAACATTTCTGAGCTCTCAAACAGACTAACAGACTGTTCCCAGTTAACTGAGAAAAGGGAATACAAATGACAAGCAGACACTCAACCTCATTCATAACAGAAATGCAAACAGAACTACAGTGAGGTACCCCTGTTAGCTATCAGGCTGGCATAAACGAAGCAGAGGTAGGAGAGGGCAATGACACAGGTTACGCACAGCAGCCTGTTTAAATGAGCACAAGACTGGACAAATAAACATCCACCAGGAGAGGCTGGTTAAATAAAGCATAAATGAATGAGAGCAGGGTCTGTGGATGTGTTTGTAACAGAAAAAGGCAAGGTCCTGAACAATCTGAATGTGTTTAAAAATAAATGAGAGGGCAATATAGATACAGTTGATTCTCACTACTTGAGCAGTCCATGTGTGTGAATCTGCCTACTTGCTAAAATTCACTTGTAGCCCCCAAATCAATACTTGTGGCGCCTTTGCAGTCATTTGCAGATATGTGCACAGCCATGAAAGCTTTGAGTTGCCTGACACACACATTCGCAGCTGAGGTCAGATAAGGCAACACTTTGCCTTCGTGTTTCAGCTCTCATCCTTAAACAAGCATCCTTCCCACCGCCTATTTGGTGCCATGGTTTTCACATTTTTGAGCTTTTTGTTGACTGCTTTGTTTAAAATGCTCCCAATATACTGCTGAAGGGCTTGCCTACTGTCCCCAAGTACAGAAGGCTGTGATGTGCCTCAGAGAAAACACGTGTGCTTGATCAGCTTCACTGAGGCATGAATTATAGTATTGATGGCCATGAGTTCAGTGTCAATGAATTGAAAATATATATAACTCATGTGTGTTTAAACAGAAACACACATTTAAAAAGGTTATTAACTGATCAGTTGACAAAATCATTGTGTCTAGATGCTCACAGAAACCACACTGTATTTCTCCCAGGAGCTGTGGTTCAGTACTTGCTAATCAGTGTTTGCCATGACTATGGAACAGAAGCACCAAGAGAATCAGTTGTATGTATGTATGGATGAATAGATGGATGGATGTTAGCTCTGTGTGTGTGTGTGTGTGTGTGTGTGTGTGTTGTAGGAAGGGAGGGTGCATGTGTGTCTGTCATATGCTTTTGTATCTTTGCAATTTTAAACCAAGTCAATGTTATTTCCTATTGAAATATGAATATGAAATTAAAACCTAACCAAGAACTTTTGCCTGCCTTCCATGCACACCCCCACAGACTGTCTCGTGTCCCTGACTTGAGTTTACTGCAGTGAGGAGGAAAAGGGGTGGTGCCCATCGCCCGCACTGCACTCATCTGTCTGTCTGTGCTGTTGATGACGTATTAGGAAGGTACAGTTTCATGGCAGTATGGGCCACAGCGGGGCTGAGCTGCCAGTCATGACTCACACCCTGGCTGGCTTGCTGGCTCACCTGGGTGCTCTCGTCATGGAAGCCCTCGAGGAAGCTCTCCAGCAGCTCATCTGCATTGTCAATCCGCTCCGCGTACTCGCCCACAATCCAGATCGTGGCAGCCCGGGCCTCAGGCTCATCCAGCGAGTCCAGGTTCTCACACAGCATAGCAATCACACTCTCATACCTTGGAGACCAGAGCACAGCCCGTATGTGAGCCCCGAAGAACAGCCAACCCGGAGAAGCCAGGCAGGGGGCAGGGGGCAGGAGGAAAGGGGAACTGCCTCATAAGACCCCAAGGTGGTGGATAAAGGAGACCTGAGTTTCATCTGTCACATGTTAGCTCTTATTTTGGCCTGGGGAGCAGAGGACAGGCAGTGTGGGTGAAATAAGAAAAACTGCTTCTTTTGAGAATGCTGCTTGTGGCAGAGAAGTAAGGAAGAGGAGAGAGATAACTCCTTCCTTTTCTGCCCCACCATCCCCGTCCCCAGGCAGAGGCAGATGCCCTCTCCCTGGGAGGGTAGGCATGCACTTGTTGGGGTACTTGCGGAAGATGTCCTTGATGACCAAGATGGCCTCCTGGACCACGTAGTTGACCTTGGTCTGGATGAGGTCGAGCAGCGTACTCACACAGCGCTCTGCAGATTGCTGCATGGGAAGAGGAAAATGTGGGCCAGGTCCCCGCACCCCATTTCCAGTAGAGCCTCTGATGACCGTGCCTTGGCCGAGGGCTCCAAGTCACTCCTCGAGCACCTTCCTTGTCATAACGGGAAAACAGGAAAACCCTCTCCCCAGGAAATGGGAGAACCAGTACCAAATCATGACCCTAGGATGGCAGGGACATAGGGAATGAAACTGAGGAGAAGCCAGAGGCAGAGCTTCTGAGAGCAAGGTGACTACCTGCAGTCCAGCCCCACCTCTCTTTTCACTTGTTTCAGAAAGGGGACTCCTGTGACCAAAACACGCACAGAACCTCTGACTGGTTCTGCCTTTATTTTCACATGCTGCTCTCATGGCCTGCTCTGAGGGAGATTTCTCAAGATGGCATGACAGGCTCCAAGGCGAGCACGCCTCAAGGGCATAGGCGGGGGCTGACCAGCTATCCCAGGACCCTCTAGTTACCAGTGGACCCATTTAAGGAGAATCTGGCTTAGTGGTCAAGGAATATCTCCACAGACAGAGAAAGGAAGGGGATAAAATGCCAGGACACTGGGATGCTTGGACACAGAGGCATGTGGGCAGCTGAATGATGACAGTATTTGCCAAAAAATGTTCAACAGGCAGGGCCCTTGCTCAGAGCTCTATGAAGTGAATGCTAAGTCTACCAAGGCCACCACCAGCTTGTGGCTGCCCCAGCATCTTAGCAAATGCTGCAGGAGAACCCTGATTATGATGGGTTAATTTGATCTGCAGTAACTCAAAGGCCTAAAGGATACTAGAGAGTGAGAAGGAACCTCACCAGATCTGCACTATGCTAGCCATGGGGGCGGCAGTGGTAAACCTCAGGCCTTTCCAGACCACAAGCAAGCTGGTAGATTCTGCTTGAATCAGACTCGTTTCCTGGTTTCAGCTCCCTTTCCCTTCTCCAGCCAAGGACAGAGTCCCAGGCCCTCACCTCCACCTTGATGGCACAGCGGCCAATGGCACGCACAGCCTTCTGTACAAAGTCCACATCCACTTCTGTTGCATACTCTTTCAGCTCCGCCAACACCTGTGGCCCAAACAGAAAAGATGGGGTTGGGTGGGGGGACCTGATAGGGCAATCCCCTGGAACACTCCTGGGCAGTGAATATACACAGACTCCCTAGGAGAATGGGATTCTGCCTCCTGCTCCAAGTGGAAGGCCCAAGGGAGGGAGAGAGCTGGCAGGTGCTTGAAAAGGAAAGCAGGGCTGGACAACCTTATTATGGGTTGATGTAGCTAACATATCCAATACCACTTTGTAAGGGATGACAGGTGATAATAGGGAGAAGCATTCTTTTTTTTTTTTTAGATGGAGTTTTGCTCTTGTTGCCCAGGCTGGAGTGCAAAGGAGCAATCTCAACTCACTGCAACCTCTGCCTCCTAGGTTCAAGAGATTCTGCTGCCTCAGCCTCCTGAGTAGCTGGGATTACAGGCATGCACCACCACACCCAGCTAATTTTGTATTTTAGTAGAGATAAGCCTTCTCCATGTTGGTCAGGCTGGTTTCAAACTCCTAACCTCAGGAGATCCACCAGCCTCAGCCCCCTGAAGCACTGGGATTACAGGTGTGAGCCACCATGCCTGGCCGAGAAACAGTCTTTAGCAACAAAAGCATCAGTTATTTTACTTGCTTACTAAGTCCTGTGTCTCATGCTAAACACTGTTCATGAGATAAACTGTTCATGGTGAGACTGGTCAGCTGGCCCAGAGCCCACAGTTTGGTGGTGGTGGAACTGTCTCACACCAAGCCCATGCCCTAATCACCACATGCTGCTAACCTGGGCGATGTTGGCCTGGGAGGCCAGGCGGATCATGATGTCCAGCTTCTCCAGCTTCACATAGATAGGGTCATTGTACTTCACGAAGAACACCTTCATCTCATGCTTCAAGATCTCAGGCCTGGTGGTGGGGCAGGACACCCAGAGAGCAAAAAACAAGCCATAAGCCCCGTGAGAAAACCCCCTCCACATTTGCTGGGACATTTCTGGGATCTGACGTGGAGCCTGATGTTTGTGAAAGCAGAGTCACTGCCATGGCTCCAGGGCAGAGGGCCCACCAACCGACCTGAGCGAGGCTCTGACTTGCCCCCGTGTACCTGAGAGCACATCGCTGGAAGGGACAGGGAACACAGCAAGAGACTGCAGAGGCAGCAGGTCCCACGGGATGGGCTTGGGCATCAGACACATCTCAGTCCCAGCCCCAGCCTGTGACCTCAGGCCTGTTTCCTCACCCATGAAATGACAATGACACTGGACAGAAACACATTACCACTGCAGGTCTGGGACTGCTAGCCTCAGAAGGCCTGGCATGTGGCAACTTGGATTTTGGAAGTGTTCTCACCATTCCCTGAATGATAAAGATATTTAATTGTGCCTAGACCATTATACAAAGAATATAGTTTATGCTGGACACGTGCTTCCCTCCTGTGAGTCTGCACTTTGGGTAGGTGCCCCCAATAATAAGCTTGGGTGCCAAGTCTCAAATAGGCTTCTCTGGGCAGAAACATTGCACACATGATGCCACATTTTGCTGGGGGAGGAGTGTGCTCTGTGTGACTCCCCATGGCAAGGAGCAGGTACAAGGAGGCCTCTCATAGACTCCTCCAGACTCCACCTGTGTCCTTCTCCCCTATGACCCAGCCGGGCAGCCCTGCTCTGCTGCTGATAGATCTTTGCTGTGGCTATAGCTAGATGCTCAGTCCTGGCTGGGCATGGTGGCTTGCACCTGTCATCCCGGCACTTTGGGAGGCTGAGGCAGGAGGATCGCTTGAGCGAAGGAGTTCAAGACCAGCCTGGGCAACATAGCAAGACCGTGTCTCAAAAAGAAAAAATATATTTAAAAACATGTTGGCCGGGCGCGGTGGCTCAAGCCTGTAATCCCAGCACTTTGGGAGACCAAGGCGGGTGGATCACGAGGTCAGGAGATCGAGACCATCTTGGTCAACATGGTGAAACCCCGTCTCTACTAAAAATACAAAAAATTAGCTGGGCATGGTGGCGCGTGCCTGTAATCCCACTACTCAGGAGGCTGAGGCAGGAGAATTGCCTGGACCCAGGAGGCAGAGGTTGCGGTGAGCCGAGATCGCTCCATTGCACTCCAGCCTGGGTAACAAGAGCGAAACTCCGTCTCAAAAAAAAAAAAAAACATGTGCTGAGTTCTGTGAGTACTGCTAGTGAATCTTGAGCACGAGGGTGGTCTTGGGACCCCAACATGGACACAGACCTCATCGGCTGCTATGAGAGTGAGATGTGAAGCATCTAGCATGATCGATGCCTGCCTCAGAGAAGCATCGCTAGGCAGGAGCTGTCACGAGCTGAGCCCTTTCACATGTGTCATTGTTCCTCCCTCAAAGGCTGCATCCTTCTGCCTTCCACCAGTATCACCCACCACATTTTTCCTGGACAAGGAAACTTCAGAGAGAATGAGAGGCTGGCACTGGGTCACATGGCCAATGTCAGTAAGGACGGCAGTGGGACGAGAATCACCTGCCTCTGACTCCTACTCATATGCCTTTCCAGAACAGAAAGGAGGAAGGAAAAGGTATGAGGACAGACAGTGAGGAAGGGGAAAGACAGGACAGAGAGAAAGGAGGAAACAGTACTCTGTGCTGCTGTGCACTGCGGAGAGGTCCTGGTCAAGCAAGGAGCCTTTGTTGTGCCCCACGGGAGAGGCAAGACCCCAAGGTGGGTAGCAGGAAGATGATTTCTGCAATTAGGACTTGGCAAAAGCTGCCCAGCCACATCTCAAGACCAGGACAGGGCACGTCTGAGTGACACAGACAACTTCTTAAGAGATTTACCTTGTTAAATATAGCACAGGAAACCCTGCACACTGATCTGCTCTACTAGTCACTACACCGCATTAAATTCGTGACCCAAGGGCACTGGCGTATAAAGACCAACGCTGCAATCGGGAAGCCCTAGTTTCATCCCTTGGTTTAGGAACTCAGAAGGCTTTCCCATCTTTACCTCCCTAATATCCCAATTCGACCAGTATCTCTAGGTCCCCCAGAGAGTACTAAGACCCAGAATGATGTTACGACCAGGATGATGTACTATCTTCTAAGAGAAAATGACTAATGAGGCCCCAGTTCTCTGTGTAGCCCCACTCCCAGCCACAGGGCCTGCTGTAACATACAAATCATCAATAGTTGCTACAGTGAAGTCCCCACTGCTGACTGAGCCATGTGACCAAGAGCTTCGAGGAGAACTCAAGGTCAATCCCATTCCCCAGAGCTGCAGGGCTCCACCACTCAGAGCCACTTCAGAGGAAGAAGGGGATCATGCCATGAACCCCTCAGACCTAGCACCACTCAGTGGTTTTTCTGCTCTCGCCTACCCTCGACTACCAGACTGCGTGCCCGGGGTGCAGCGGCTCACTGCTGCAGCCATTCTCACGGGAGGAGGGATGTGGGTGGCACAGCATTTGGAGTGAGTCCGATGCACCCCTCCCCCAGGCCTCGAGGCTGATGCAAAGTCCAACAGATCCTCAAATTCTTGCAGTCCTCCAACCTCAGAATTTGACTAGAGCTATAGACCCTGTCCCCAGAAATGCACAGATACACGAAATCTGATACCGCCCGTTTCAGGACGGCTCTGTGGACTGTGAACCCAATTTCTTTTCATTTTTTCTTTTTTTTTTTTTTGAGACGGAGTTTCCGCTCTTGTTACCCCGGCTGGAGTGCAATGGCGCGATCTCGGCTCACCGCAACCTCCCGGGTTCAGGCAATTCTCCTGCCTCAGCCTCCTGAGTAGCTGGGATTACAGGCATGCGCCACCATGCCCAGCTAATTTTTTGTATTTTTAGTAGAGACGGGGTTTCACCATTTTGACCAGGATGGTCTCAATCTCTTGACCTCGTGATCCACCCGCCTCGGCCTCCCAAAGTGCTGGGATTACAGGCGTGAGCCACCGCGCCCGGCCCGTGAACCCAATTTCTAGTTTAAGCACCAAGCTAGTCTTTACACAGCCTGCTTCCTGGTTAGGTTAAGCCAGGGCTTCTCAACCTCAGCACTGCTGACATCGCGGGCTGGACAGTAACTGTGAAGGGCTATTCCGCGCACTGTAGGATGCTGACCAGCACTCCTAGCCTCTGCCACTAGAAGCCAGTAGCATGCCCTCCCAGCTGTGAAAACCAAAGTATCTCCAGACACTGACAAATGTCCCTCAGGGGGCAAAGTTGACCCTTTGGTTAAGCTAATCTGGGTTAAGCTATTTGAGACTTCCTGCATGGTGACAGGTCAGTTTCCTTTGAGAGCCCCCATTCCCAGCAGAAGAGGCTCCCCAAGGGGTACGAATGGCACTTGTGTGTAGTGACCTCAGTACCTTTTCTGCACAATGAGATTGATGTTGCGCAGAGCCACGTACTGCAGCTCCGGCTCAGCGACAGCAGTGTGACCAGGGGTGGGGCCAGCTTCTTGAGAAGTGTGCCATAGTAGTCTAGGTCCTTGGACAACATCTCCATGAACTTCATCAGTACCTTCACAGCAGAGAGTACCACAGCAGAGTTGGCGTGGGAGAGCCTGGGTGTGACCCGCTCACAGATGCTGGGGTCCGTCTGTTCCAATGGGGCAAACAGGAAAGACAAAGGGAAACATCCTGGTTTTGGTTCTCAAACTAGCATGTCCAGGCCGGGCACAGTAGCTCACACCTGTAATCCTAGCACTTTGGGAGGCCAAGGCAGGTGGATCACTTAAGGTCAGAAGTTCGAGATCAGCATGGGCAACATGGTGAAACCCCGTCTTTACCAAAACATATACAAATTAGCCAGGCATGGTGGCGAACACCTGTAGTCCCAGCCACATGAGAATCGCTTGAACCCAGGAGGTGGAGGTTGCAGTGAGCCAAGATCACACCACTGCACTCCAGCCTGGGCAACAGAGAGAGCCTGTCTCAAAAAAAAAAAAAAGCATGTCCAGCCTGAGCAAAATCATGAGACACTTCTCTACTAAAAGTAATTTTACACATTAGTTGTGTATGGTGGTACACACCTGTGATCCCAGCTACTTGGGAGGCTGAGGAAGGAGGATTGCTTTGAGCCCAGGAGTTCGAGGCTGCCATGAGCTGTGATTGGGCCACTGCTCTCCAGGCTGAGTGATAGTGCAAAACCCTGTCTCAAACAAACATGTTTTTTTTTTTTTTGTAGGAGAAAGATCTAAATCCTGGTTCTGCTGCCTAACTAACCCCCAGCAGGTTCAAATCACTCTGGGCCTGTTTCCTCATCAATAGACGCACGATAATGATCCCTACTTCACAGGGTTGTTAGAGGCTTAATGAGATAACGCATATAAAGCAAGGCCCAGGGAAGCTGAGGTGGGTGGATTGCTCGAGCCCAGGAGTTTGAAACCAGCCTGGTAAACCCTGTCTCTACAAAAAATATAAAATGAGCTGGGCATGTTGGCACACGTCTGTAGTCCTAGCTACTTGGGAGAATTGATTGGGCCTAGGAGGTTGAGGCTGCAGCTCCGGCCTGGGGGACAGAGAACCTGCCTTTAAAAAAAAAGCACAGTGCTGGCACATAGTACATGCTGTATAGATGTCAACTTCCCATTTCCTCCTACTTGGAGGGTTGGTTAAGACCAAGAGTCAGGTAAGCCCCAGCTGAGGGACTTGCACAATTGCCTCCACTTCTCTAAGCTGGAGCGCCCTCATCTGGAAAATGGGGGATGATGAGAGTTGCATTAAAGACTGTAATGTATGGAAAGCACCCAGCAGAACCCCAGACACCCAGTGAGAATTCAGTGAGCAGTGGCTCTGGTGCTACCCATCTCCTGAACTCAACGGAGGTGCCCTGGACTTCTGCGAGCTTCCAGGCCGAGCCGTGCCTGTACCCTCAGCAGGCACTGAGCTGACTGCCCCAGGCAACTCTCCTGCCTGCCTGGCTCTGGAGAGGTGGGAAGCAGGCAGGCTTCCCTTTCGGTGTATCTGAGGGTGGGCTGCGGGGCAAGGCCATAGAAAGGGGCCCACTAAGGCCTGAGAACTTTCCTGTGGCCCGTCCAGGGCTCCAGTGCCCATCCCTGTACTGGTTATTCAGTACTGTGTGTGGCAGTTGCTCAGTGTTTCTGCTCAGAGTGAGATGGCTGGGTTTGTGCATTCATTTACACATTTATTTTAAAGAGATGCTGCCAAACTGCCCTCCAGACTGCTGCCACCACCATGGGTGGTGCCTGGTTGGGGCCCTTGAGGGCCAGGGTCCTCAGGCTGGGCTGGCAAGCAAGGGGCAGCCTGCTCACCTCTGGGCCTCACGGTCGTTCTTGGGCGTGTAGTTGGCCAGGCAGTCCAGGATGAAGATCTGGCCCCACTCTGTGCACTCATTCAGGGCTGTCAGCAGCTTGTTGATGGACTGTGGGTTCAGATCGAGCAGATTGCTGCTGGGGTGAGACTCTGCGATTTCTGAGAGCGCTGCTACTGCATTGGCCACCACCTGGTTGAGAGGGTGAAAGGGGCAGATGCTGGGGTGCTGTTCACAGGCCAGGGGGCAGTGGGGCTGATGATACAGGCTGGTCAGAGGTCAAATGTTCTGAAAGGAATATGACCCGGCGGGCAGGGTCTGGAGCTGCAACGAGACCCACTCCAAGCACTCACCCTGCTGACTCCTCTGCAACCTGGCACAAAAACAAGTGTGCCTGCCACTTAGAAAAACAAGAAAGACCTAGCTCCAAGTGCCTAGCCATAGAAAGCATTCCCAGCTTCCTAACACAGCACCCCTGTGTATTAGCAATAGCAGCTCACTTCAATGCTTGTCAGCTGTGCCTCTTGGAGCTAAGGGATTCCTGTGGAGTTCCTCGAGGCTGCTGGGAGTGTATGGGGGTTGGAGAAGAGGGCTTGCCAGGTGAAGCTCCAGGCCCTCAATCCATTTCCACTAGAGCAGCTGCTTTTCCTCTGCCTCCCGAGCAGCTGCGATTGATTACAGGCATGCCCCACCATATTCAGCTAATTTTTGTATTTTTAGTAGAGATGGGGTTTGTTTCACCATGTTGGCCAGGCTGGTCTCAGACTCCTGACCTCAAGTGATCCTCCTGCCTTGGCCTCCCAAAGTGCTGGGATTACAGGCGTGTGCCACCGCGCCCAGCCTGTTTGTTGTTGTTGTTCTTGTGGTTGTTGTTGTTCTTGTTGAGACAGAGTCTCACTCTGTTGCCCAGGCTGGAGTGCAGTGGTGCAATCTCAGCTCACTGCAACCTCTGCCTCCCAGGCTCAAGCAATCCTCCTGCCTCAGCCTCCTTAGTAGCTGGAATTATAGGCACGTGACACCACACCCAGCTAATTTTTGTATTTTTAAGTTAAGGTGGAGTTTTGCATTGTTGGCCAGGCTGGTCTCCAACTCCTGACCTCAGGTGATCTGTCCATCTCGGCCTCCCAAAGTGCTGGGATTACAGGTGTGAGCCCCTACACCCGGACTTAGGCAGCTGTTTTTAAGTGTATTCTGCTTTGTTTCTGACTTTTCCCTGCAGCCCGTCCAGGGCTCCAGTGCCCATCCCTGTACTGGCCACTCAGTACTGTGTGTGGCAGTTGCTCCGTGTTTCTGCTCAGAGTGGGATGGCTGGGTTTGTGCATTCATTTAAACATTTATTTTAAAGAGGCGCTGCCAAACTTCCCTCCAGACTGCTGCCATTACCATGGGTAATGAGATTGCGGGGTTCCATATTCAGCTACATCTGTATGTCCCGTCTTCCAGGCTATGCTACTTCAAGGGCGACCCTCTACAACCCAGCAAAGATGGGGGAAGGGAAAAGCACCCCACATGCAGCATTGGTCTTGGTGAGAGGACAGCAACAGTAATAGTGACTAGAGGGGGAAGAGGGCACTAGTATTGATCACACACCCACTGTGTGTCCAGCACGTCACCTTCAAGCACTCCTGCCAACCATGTAGAATTAGATCCATGTCACTGATGAAAAGACAGCCCTGGAAGCCTAGGCAGTGCTCCAGGTTGTGCAGCTAGTCAGAGGGTGAGGAGAAGGGAACCCAGGTCCAGCTCCCTCCAAAGAGGCTGCCTGAACCACCACAGGCACAAGAACAACTGGCACCCCCGCCAGGCTCTGACTGCTAGGTACTCAGGACTGCCTGGTGAAGGGTCAAGCCAATGTCTTCCCAAGTAACCCAGGAGGCAGTGGAGGAGGCACGGTGGGTGGCATGGCTTACCATGGGGTTAGAGTCAGAGATGAGGTCTTTAAGGGTGTCCAAGAAGCCCTGGTCCTCCACCAGCTGGGCGTTGATGTCGTGAAGCTTGGCCACGCACACAGCTGCTGTTTTGCGCACATATGGATCCTCATCCTTCAGGCACTTCCGGAGTGGTTCACACAGGTACTCTGTGATCTTGTCAACGCGGATGCAGCCCATGGTCCGCACCGCAAGGGCTCGGATGAGGGGGTTGGGGTCCTCACAGTCCTGAGGGGAACCAGCCATCAGCCAGGGCAGGTGTGGGATGAGCCATCTGTGGCTTCATATTCTCCCAGGCCTGCAGCTCTGAGCCCTGCTAGGCTGAGAACATCAGATGGCTGCTGTGGATCTCTACCAACTACAGCCAACAGAAGCCAAAGTAAATGCTATGTAACCAGCACCCATGCCAGCTCTGTGCATCATCTCCTCCTATCCTCACAGTAGAAATACAATACTGGTCCCATTTTATAGATGATGAAACTGAGGCTCTCAGGAAGGCTGGGAGCTCATCCGAAGCCACAGAGCAGAGCCGTGATTCAAACTCACATACACCTAGCATCACAGCCCTCGATTTTTCTGCTGGGCCACAGAAGCCTCATTTCCCCATATCTGAGCATGGACAGGACTCAGGCGAGCTAAGATTCTCAGGTAGTAAACATTAGGAGAAAATGAAATTAAAATAAAGGTGCACAGAGCTGACAATTCAATCTGAAGAACAGAAAATGGAGAAAGCAGCAGTCTAGAAGGGGAACAGAGAAGCTCTCAGACACCTGCTGATTCGTGCCCTGGCAAAGCATGCACAGCAGGGCCCCATCAGGGTGGTGAGGGGATCAATAGGCCTTGCAGGACCTCACACAGGATGAGTTAGGCAGCGGCCTTGGCATCTGGTTTTCTGGGAAGTGGGAGCCCTCTGCTGGAGGAAGAGGCCTGCAGGCTGGGTGGGCATGGGCAGTCCAAAGGTCCAGATTCCATCCAGCGCCACAGGGCCCCACCCCAAAGAGACTGAGGGGAGACAGAGCCTTAAGCACCCCATTCCCCCATACCTTCCAAGCTCCTGCTCACTTTCACAAAGGTGTAGACAGCCATAATGGCCATGTCAGGCTGACTCTTGGCATAATTCATCTGGTAGAGGTATACCAGATACCTCTTCAGCTCCAGGTTGTCCATCAGCCCCAGGCTGTCCATCTTCCAGGGCACAGGGAAAGGCTGAAAAAAGGAAGATTTTCAGGCTGCTAACTAGTAGGTGGGAGGACAGTGGGTAGGAGAGAGAGGAGAGACACACTGGATGACTTTCTGGTAAAAGGGAGGGTATCAACTGTGCTGTTAACAATTAACACTTATTGGTAGAAAATCCCAAATGGTAATTTTAAAAGCAAAAAAAGGGCCAGGCACAGTGGCTCACACCTTGTAATTCCAGCACTTTGGGAGGCCGAGGTGGGCTGATCACAAGATCAAGAGTTCGAGACCAGCCTGGCCAATATGGTGAAACCCCATCTTTACTAAAAAAAAAAAAAAAAAAAAGGAAGAAAATTAGCTGGGCAAGGTGGCAGGCACCTCAGCTACTCGGGAGGCTGAGGCAGGAGAATCACTTAAACCCAGGAGGCAGAGGTTACAGTGAGCCAAGATCACACTACTGCACTCCAGCCTGGGTGACAGAGCAAAGACTCCGTCTCAAAAATAAATAAATAAAAATAAAAGCAGAAAAAGTCCTTAGTTGTTTTCAGACAGTTCAAACATGAATTCTGGAGCCCGTCAAACCCAGCATTGCCTCTTGCTAGCTGTATGACAGAGAAATTCCTTTGTCACCTGCCCCTTGCCCTGAGTCTCAATTTCCTCACTTGCAAGCAAGGTGCAACAGAAACTCACTTCACAGGGCCTTTATGGTAACTGAATGAGACAACATTCTTGGGTATCTGGTCCTTGTTATCTGGGAGGTGCTGAGTAAATGAAAATGACCCTTTCTCCCTCTCTGATACTTAACACGGCCCCTTACATTAGGCTGCTGCTTCTGGAGGGTCGCATGGAAGTAGGATGGCTCACACTGCTTTTACCGCAAGCTCTGACACCCACTAAGAACCAGTACAGCATGCATGGAGCACATACCATACACCAGGCTGGGTGCTAAGAGCTTTACATACATGATCTCATTTAACTAGGATCCCCATTTCACAGAATACTGAGGTTCATCAATGTCGAATAACCTGCCTGGAGGAGCCAGGCTCCTGGAGGAGGAACAAGGTCTGTGCTCATGACCACTGGGTGGAACCCTTCTCAACGTGGCACCCATGGTCCCAGAGTCACAGGCCTTAAAATATGAAATTTGGTTAGAGAACAATTTTCTATCTTGGAATCATCAGATCCCCTCTCAATTCTTACGTGTTTACAGGCAAGGACATGTCAACACAGAGACTTAAGAGGTCGAAGTGAACTTCCTGAGCCCCAACAAGCAGGAGTCCTGCCAAAGCCAAAATGGATGTATCACCTTGGAAGATGACACACCTGGTGCAATCTCAGGAAGAATGGGGAGGAGGAAGGAGGAAAAACTGCTGATGAGGACGACTTGCTCTTTGGGGCCCATCATATCAACAAAGCCAGCTCTTTTGAGACCGAGGAACAAAGATGTTTCTCCTCTGTGAGGAGGTGACAGTGGTGTTCTGGGTGAAGGTGAGCAGCTTTGTCCTGGAAGCAATCTGACTTGGAAGCAGGCCCAGCTGTCCAGCAGGCGCCTGCTCCCTTTGTGGCCCGGAACTGTGCTTCCCGGAACTGCTGGCAGGAGGTCCTTGCTGGGGAGTGATCCATGGGGAAGTCTGGAGTAGTGGGAGCCTATCTTGGGACCTGAACGGGAGCTGCTCCATCTCAGCACCCAAGCTATGAGGCACAGGGCTGGGTACCAGGAGGGCATGGGTGAAAGCAGCCTGGATTTGGATTTCAGAAGAACTGGGCTTGAGTCCTAGTTCTGCCATAAACCAGGTGACTCTTAGGCAGTCGCTTTATGTTTTTATTTCTTTGGCAGTAAAACCATCATTACCTACAATATGGGAGTTGTAAGGATCTACTAAGAAAACAAATCTGAGGAGGCTGAGGCAGGAGAATTGCCTGAACCCAGGAGGTGGAGGTTGTGGTGAGCCGAGATCGCGCCATTGCACTCCAGCCTGGGCAACAAGAGCGAAACTCCGTCTCAAAAAAAAAAGAAAACAAATCTGAAAATGTTCTGTGCAGACTCTCAAATACTGTGCAAATATTAAGCTGTTATAAAATCCAGTCCCTGCCTTTGAGATTTTGCAATCTGGTGAGCAGGTAAACACAAGTACACATAAGAGAACAGTCTCCATTTAGTGCTGGGTGATGGGGACCGAGAGCAAATGCTTTTGAGTTTGGGGTAGTGGACTGGCAACGGGGAAAGGCAGACCTTGATTGGGTTTTTAAAGATGGGAAGACAAGCTGGGTCACTGGGCACTCCCACAGGGGAAGCATGAGCCAAGGTGCAGCAGCCATTCTACACACGACCTGCTCTAGCCATCAGGTGCGACAGAGGTTGCAAACAGGTGACAAATCAGAGAAATCCAATCTGGCACGTGTGTTTTACTTGCACCATACAGTGTTGGTTTAATATCATCTGGCCACTTAATACAGGGAGATTTAAAATGAAAAGTCCAGCTTTCCCATTTTTATTTATTTAATTTTTTGGAGGGGGGGGCGGCGTCTCACTCTGTTACCCAGGCTGGAGTGCAGTGGCACAATCTCAGCTCACTGCAACCTCTGCCTCCCAGGTTCAAGTGATTCTCCTGTCTCAGCCTCCCGAGTAACTGAGATTACAGGCATGCACCACCATGCCTGGCTGATTTTTGTATTTTTAGTAGAGACAGCATCTCACCATACTGGCCCAGCTGGTCTTGAACTCCTGACCTCTTGATCCACCCACTTCGGCCTCCCAAAGTGCTAGGATTACAGGCATGAGGCACAGCACCCAGCACAGATTTCCCATTCTTTTTTTTTTTTTTTTTTTTTTGAGACAGAGTTTCCCTCTTGTTACCCAGGCTGGAGTGCAATGGCGCGATCTCGGCTCACCGCAACCTCCGCCTCCTGCATTCAGGCAATTCTCCTGCCTCAGCCTCCCGAGTAGCTGGGATTACAGGCACGCACCACCGTGCCCAGCTAATTTTTTGTAATTTTAGTAGAGACGGGGTTTCACCATGTTGACCAAGATGGTCTCGATCTGTTGACCTCGTGATCCACCCGCCTCGGCCTCACAAAGTGCTGGGATTACAGGCTTGAGCCACCGCGCCCGGCCTCCCATTCTTTTTTAAAACCATAAGACCTGGCTGGGTCCTCTTCCCCAGCCAGTAGTTATCCTCTGGAGTTTCTGAGAAGGTTCATGCCATACCTACTCCATCGCCTGCTGCCTTTCCCACCTCCTCTAGTTCACTCACTCCATCACCACCTGACCTGTCAGTACCGGGGCTTTCCTGTGTAAACAAAACCTTCTACTGGGGAAAAAAAGTTTTATGAAGGGAGCTGTATGAGGGGAGACATGGGTCCCTAGACAACCTAAAGAAGAGACTGAAGTGGACCCAAGCTATAAACCCTCCCCTGTCAGCCAGCTTCCAGCTGCCACCAGGCCTACTCCTGCATACCTGACATCTTTGCCCACGGTCATCGATGCAATCACTTTCTTCACTGCCTCCTTCTTCTCCTTCTTGTCACTGTTGAGCTCTGCCTTCAGCTTGAAGATTTCCCCTAAGGAAAGGAGGCAAGCATGAGTGATCCCTCCCTACCCTGCCAGGGGATGATTCCCTGTACTTAACTTCCAAAAGAACTGGAGGGAGGCACGTCAGACATCCTATGCTGTTGGCTGAGGGCAGCTTCAGGCCCCTGGCCTCAGGTAGGACAGGCAACAGTGAGGGATGACTGTTAGGACAGGAATTAACAAGATGGAAGCTTGCAGGCCTGGCACAATGGCTCACACCTGTAATCACGGCACTTTAAGAGGCTGAGGATCACTTGAGCCCAGGAGTTTGAGATTAGCCAGGGTAACATAGTCAGACCTCGTTTCTACAAAAAAATAATTTTAAATTAGCCAGTGTGGTAGCACGCACCAGCCATGCCAGCTCTGGAGGCTGAGGCTGGAGGATCATTTGAGTCCCTCTAGGTCGAGGCTGCTGTGAGCCGTGACACCACTACACTCCAGCCTGGGTGACACAAAGTGAGACCCTGCCTGTCTCACAAAAAAAAAAAAAAAAAAAAAAGGCTGAGAGGCCCTGCTGGATTGAAGCCACAGGAACCATGGAAGCTACAAAGATTCTGGGGAAGACAAAAGTATCAAAAACATGACAGCAGGCTCCGCTCAGCCAGAGAGCTAAAAACCCAGTGGAAGGCAAGCTGTCCTCAGCTACCCTCACTCAACCAAAGGCCCTTAAAAGGCTCAGTGCAATAGAACCTGAGTACTTAAGGCCTGCAGGGAGAGGGCAGAATTTGTTGATTCCCACACGGAGGCCTTTCCTGTTTTCCTCCAACCTCAAATTAAAACAGCTTGCTCAGGGTTTCACTTCCTGAGACACAAGGGGTTGCTCAGCTCTGAAAATGGGAATTCAGCGGCTCCATGAGAGCAGGGGATGGTGGCCAGTGATTGATGAAGCAGTGGTGAGACAGAGATGGCAAGAGACAGCAAGCAGTGAGACAATGAGACATGGTGAGGACACTGGTGATCAAAACTGCAAGAGCAGCAACACTGAGACTGCAACACTGAGACTGTAACACTGAGACTGTAACACTGAGACTGTAACACTGAGACTGCAACACTGAGACTGTAACACTGAGACTGCAACACTGAGACTGCAACACTGAGACTGTAACACTGAGACTGTAACACTGAGACTGTAACGCCAAACAGCTGTTAACCCTGCAGAGAAATGTGACATTAACCAAAGAGCAGCAACACTGAGACTGTAACGCCAAACAGCTGTTAACCCTGCAGAGAAATGTGACATTAACCAAAGGCTCTTTTCAAAGCCGTCCACCCCTCCCTTTCTCCCTTCCACCAAAGAATCTCTTCAAAGCTCCCTCCCTGCCTCCCTCTCTTCCTTCTTGAGATGGAGTCTCATTCTGGCGCCCAGCCTCGAGTGCAGTGGCATGATCTTGGCTCACTGCACCCTGCAACCTCCACCTCCCAGATTCTCCTGCCTCAAGTG